AAACCCACAACAACCACCTCTTGGGAAACATTTCACTAATGCTCCCCCCTCTGTGTGTGTTTACATTCCGATTGTCTTCAGCACTTATTTAAATAAATTCAATCCAGAAAAAAAATGAATGTGGCAAATGGAGCAGGTCCATTGTGAACTTCCCTTTAGATCTACACCTTTTAAAAATGGCTTTTGAACAACAAATCTGTGGCTGTACAATGCCTAAGGAACAGCTGGACTTACAAGCTCCCAAACTACCCCAGCTATGCTGGGACACCGCTGCATCTTCTTCTCAGCTGAAGACATCATTCTCTGGATTGTTCAGATGAGTTTGTGACAGCTCAATCCCACCTATACATGTCTGCTCAAAAATCTGACCAAAGTCGATGGTTAGGTTTGCAGCTTCTTGTAACGTAGTAGCATGTGTGTGTTGTGTGCTGCCAAGGCACTTCCAACTTCCAATGGCCCAGCCAAAAGATCCTGTCACTAACAGCTCTGCTCGCTAAGGCACTTCCAACTTCCAATGGCCCAGCAAAGTAGTGACCTCCAAAGATCCTGTCACTAACAGCTCTGCTGAAGTCTTGTAGACTAGAGGCCATGGCTTCCTTTATTTAACCAATTTGTCCATGCGATTGGACTGTACCAGTATCAATACTAACGTAGGAAAAGATCATTACATTGGAATAAGAGCTTTACAGGCACCTAAATGCTCAAGGAGTAGTTTGTTTAAAAACTTAAAATACAGTTTGGCAATGGAATAAAGGATTTTCGTGGGTGCATGTGTGCTTTGTGTACATGCGTGTGTGTGTTTAATAGCCATCATTTACAAGTCAGGAAATGTTCCTGCTATAAATGTTCCTCCAGTGCAATTTAAGTCTAACTATTTCAGTCCCTCAGAAGACACAGAACAAACGTTCCAGAAAAGGTAATATCAAAAACCTGTCTTTTGAGAAAGTGTCTGCTTCCTGGATCAGTGTTTCACACCTGAAATAGATATTTACTATTAGCTTTCAAAACCATGGCATGACTTCTTTTTTTAAAAATGTCCTAAATATAATACATATTATATGCTGACTTTTCTGAATTTAGTGCCACAAGGGAAAATTAAACATATATAGGCAGCTTAGTAATTTTTACTGAGGTATTTTAACATGCCCTGCTATAAAAATTGTTTTCCAGGATGAATAATTTCAAAAGTACATAATGGGACAAAAGCACGTATGCATTCTTTTGTTCTATAAGTGACAAATGTCATACTTTCTATTTCTATCCTGCCTTGAGTCCTTCTGGGGAGAAAGGTGAGATAGAAATATTTTAAATACTGTAAATAAAATTAAAGAAATATTTTTCCTTACTACCGAGGCACACTGCCTGTGGATAATAATTGGTTTGGCCTGTTAAATATCTACTTCTTCAGTGTCTAGCCATTGTCATTTGGGGTAAAGGTGGTGATGGAGAATGAGACAGGATGAAATTGATGTGGTTGGAAAACAAACTAGTCTGGAAAGAGATTTATAATGACGTATACAGAGAAGTATTTCCCTGGCCATAGACCCAGGCTGGGAGCTCTCCTGAATTTTATACTCACTGGAGGTGATAAGGTGGTAGCAAAACCCAGGCATGGTCGGCACCAGGTTGCACCAGCTAGGATGGTGCAACCTGATACATGAATAACCTTCAGTTATCCATGCACGAGTTCACCAGCTCCACCGAGTTGTCTGTGTGCCATCAGTGGCATCCATCATGATTCATGAGGCCCTATCCTCTCCTCTGAAAGGGATTGTTTTTGGAAATTTCCACTGGTGTGGAATGGACCTGGTGGAACTGGGTTTTGGTGACACCAGGTGACCTCTGAGCTGCACTGATGGCCAGTCTATTTCTAAGCCTTAATTTTAAAGGGCCGTTTTTAATCTTTAAAAGTCTTCAAGTCTTGAAGGATCTGAGGGGTGAAGTTGTCTAGAAAATAATTTCACCCAGTTCTGATGCTCTGCTTGCGTGCCTAGTAGTGTTGATGAAGAGAATCAGATTGGAGAGCAGGAAGGAGTGGGCTTTGCTGGTTATGGCTCTATGGCCGAGGAACTCATTAGCACCTGGCAGGCCCTGCCACTAAGAGCCTTTGGGAGAGCTTTCCAGCCAACCTTGATTTCTCTGACATGTTCTTATTACAGGTTTTATGGGTCACAGAAGTGGGGTTGAGCTGTGTTTGTTTATACGTATAGGGTTTTCCCCCTCTTTGATTTATACTGGATACTGTGTTTTAGCTTTTTGCTAGTTTTATTAATGGCTGACTTTTTGAAGAAGTCTATTGCTTTTATGTTGTGACAGATCAACTTGTGAAAGCTACATGAAAAGTTTTCTGTTTAAAAACAAGACAGATATTTCTAAAACACACACATATTTGACAATTGCAAACCATAATGCTGATCCCCGTTTTTCATTCACTTTTTCAAATACTGTGAGTCACTTTCATAACGGGAAAAGCAGGAAAAGGCTGTATGGTAGTGGAAACAATACAAATGAAGGAACAGTGGATACCTTTAATCAACCATTAAGAAAAAATATATATGTTCTTCGGGGTACCAACAAGAACTTGATACATAGCCTTGAAGAAGATGATTTATCTTTAAAATCTCACTTTCATTTATTATTATTATTATTATTATT